CATCCTTGCGCGCTGGCAGCCATTTGGCTGAGGTGGCGGCAAAAACGAGGCGGCAGGTGCTCATCGCCCTGCCTTGGACCCTTCCCCTGACGAGGAGCTCCAACGGAAGGTCGAGATCGCCCCTCGTGTCCTGCTGGCCTTGGCATCACTCGGAGGTGTGCATTTTTCCTTCGGCGAGGACCATCGGAGCATCCCTGATCATTTGGCGAAAAAACCACGCACGAGACCGAGAAAGGCACAGGGAATGGACGTCCGAGCGATGGCCAGTGGCGGGAATTCAGCTGCTGCCACTTTGGCCGAAGCTGGGGCTTCGAGACTCAGAGCGCGTGCAGAGGCCGTCTGCCTAGCCAGCGCCCGAGCTCGAAGTGTGTCACGAGTGGGCTCGAATGGCCGCGCCCAAGCGCCGTCGGGTTTATATCCAGGGGTCTGGTGCGAGTGCCGAACCTGAAGGAGGATCGTGCCTTGGGAAGTCTCGCCTGGACCAAAGTATCCTGGAAGCCCTCGGACACAGAGTCACTGCGTTTCCTTGCAGTGGCGGATCTCACATGTTCTTGTGCATGATGTGCAAAGTCTATAGCAGTGGCGCCCAAGTCAAAGGCCTGGCCCGTAAATGCGGTCCGCCCACTTGTGACGGGCAAGAAGACTTCGGCCCTTGTCAAGAGAAGCCTGCACCCTGATAAGGAGGGTGTGTCTGTGGATTTGGACGAGTTCAAGCCACTGCTATAGTCACAGGTGCATTTATTCCAGGCATGTCAGTGCGCCTCTGGCTGTGATGATCTGACTGGTCTTTCAGAGGCATGCGGTGCTCGCCCAAAAAGAAGAGGAGGGGGAGAAGCATGATCAAGAGCATGAGGAGGAGGAGAAGGAGGAGCAAACCATCCACCTTCCATCCACCCGCCCTCCTCCACCACCCGCCCCTCATCATGAGCGTCAGGATCAGAAATGGTGAGGAAATCTCAGGCGAAACGCCCCGCCCGCCCTATCGACACGTCTCGGGGTGCGACAGGGAGGAGTTGTTTATAAGGAAAAGGGGTGGAAGGGGTAGGTGGAGGAAGGCGGTGAGGAGAGGATAAAAGAGGAGGAGGAGGAGGACAAGCTAGTTGCGCTCGCGCCATGTATGAAATCTGATTCCTTCCTCCCATCCTTTCCCATTGCGCTGATTTTTTCTCTATCCGCGGACGCGTGTCATAGAGGACCTGGAACTCCAAATGAACCCGGCACGACCCCAATTTGGGAAAGTTTCCTGTTGCATGGGCGCAGTGCTTGGCACTGCTTGGCATTGCGTGGCAGTGTTTGGCAGTGCTTGGCAGTGCTTGGCAGTGCTTGGCATTGCTTGGCACTGCTTGGCAATACTCGGCATTGCTTGGCACTGCTTGGAATGAGGTACCCGGGGAGCCCGAGGAAGCAGGGGAACCCGAGGAAGGTCCGGGGAACGGGCAAAGCTGGGTCCCGAGACACCAGTTCTCAAGCAAGTGAGAGCCCCTTACGCAAGGCGAAGTGGGGAAAAAGATCCTATCGTCGACCGTGTTGCGCAATCGGACGAGGGGAGCTGCGCACACAGGAAGAAGAGGAGGAGGAGGAGGAGGAGGGGTGAGGAGGGGGAAGGGGGGAAGAGGGCGAGGAGAGAAGATAGAGGAGAGAGGAAAGAGGGGGAGGGCAAGCTAGTTGCGCTTGCGCCATATCTGAAATCCGATCCCTTCCTACCATCCCTTCCCATTGCGCTGATGGTTTCTCTATCCGCGGACGCGTGTCGTATCCGACCTGGAAGTCCAAAAACAAACCATCGTGCTATGCGCAATCGGAAGAGGGGAGCTGCGTACATGGGAGGAGGAGGAGGAGGCGAGGAAAATGAAGAGGATGAGGAAGGAGGATGACGACGAATATCAGCAGCAGGAACTGGAGTGGAATGGTTGGGAGGAGCAGGAGGACCAGGGGAAGGCGGAGGAGGGGAAGGGAGGGGGGCGACACCGATGAAAAAGGATTCGGACCTTGGGGCGAGAGCACCATTCTGAACGACGGAAGCACAACGCCGATCCGAGAATGAGGCCTACGCTGCAGCGAGAACACCATATTCGAAACATCGAATACAATAATATTGTCATGGCACATAGGGCCATACGGCAATTTGGTCCAGTCCCGTGCGTAAAGACTACGGAAGACAAGACATAGGACGCGGAGGGGAGGGGGGTGCAAGATCTTCAAGACAGGGCCAGGGGAGAGGGGAGAGTAGTATTCATATTGTGCAGCTGAGGAGGAGGAGGAGGAGGAGGAGGAGGAGGAGGAGGATCGCACGCCATTGAGGGGGGAGGAAAGGGAAAGAAGTCCATCAGTCCGCCACTGTCCCAGGGGGACCCATCGGAGTGGACCGGAGGAGGAGGAGGGAGGAGGAGGAGGAGGAGGGGGAGGAGGACGAGGAGGAGGAGGAGGAGGAGGAGGAGCCCCCATCACCCCTCCCCTCACCCCGCCCTCCCCTCCCGCCGCCCTCCCGCCCCAGCCCCCCCCCCTCCGCAGGCGCTCTCGTGCGAGCGGACTGCGCAGCCCGGCAGCCCGCCGTCCCCGCGCGGCGGGCAGGTGTCCGTTGGCAGCCACGTCGTGGCGCGGCACGGGGCGAGGAGGAGGAGGAGGAGGAGGAGGAGGAGGAGGAGGAGGGGGAGGAGGAGGGGGAGGAGGAGGAGGAGGAGGAGGAGGAGGAGGAGGAAGAAGACCAGAGTTAGCTTAAGACCATCAACGATATTGCGGTAAACCCTCCCTCCAAGTTCCCTCTTCGGAAGCCCCTATAAGGATTCGTTTTTTATTGAATGAAGGAAATACCCTGTTGGCAGACAACCGTGTGAACATCTTGAAGTGTACCAGAACACACTTCCTAGGATTTCAACGCCGCGACTCAATGAACTTGTTGCGCCCTGACAGTCCGACATCGTGTCGAAACACCACTTCTGGGACGTTGACCGTGAGAATCCTTGACACTGCTCGAACTTGTTAAAACGATTGCGCGTAGCGTTAAGGCGAGAGTCACATTTTGAAAGCGGACCGCATTCCACCCGTGAAACTCCTGCAGGGTGCTAATACGAATGCGCGCGGCGTTAGGGCGACAGCCACATTTTGAAAGCGGACCGCCCTCCATCCGGAAAACTATTGCCATGTGTTATTTCGAATGCGCGCGGCGCTAAGGCGAGAGCCACATTGTGATAGCGGACCGCATTCCGTCCGTGAAATTATTGCAATGTGTTAGTGCGAATGCGCGCGCCGCTAAGGTGAGAGACACGTATTGAAAGCGGACCGCCCTCTACCCGTGAATATATTTCACTGTTTCAGCTTAAGCATCGACAGCGAGGAGGAAGTCTCAGGCGAAACGCTCGTCCCGCCCTACCACCACACGCGTCGGGGTGCGATCCCGAGGCCTGGCGAGGGCCCCCAGAGGCGGAGAACAGCGCAAACCTCCCGTCGTGATTTTTTCACGGGGTGGGAGGAGGAAGGAGGAGGAGGAGGAGCAGGAGGAGGAGGAGGAGGAGGAGAAGGAGGAGGAGGAGGGGGAGGAGGGGAAGAGAGGAGGAAGAGGTGAACGGACGAGGAAAGGAGGAAGGAGGAGGAGGAGGAAGGAAAAAAGGAGGAGGAGAGGAGGAGGAGGAGGAGGAGGAGGAGGAGGAGGAGGAGGAGGAGGAGGACCCCCCCGATGGGCACATTCCTGTCGCAGCGGGCTTGGGACATCCGACCGATGCGCTTGGCCCAGGTGGACACCAGATCTAAACCGGGCATGGTGCGGGGACCGCGGATTAGTCTGGAAGAGGAGGAGGAGGAGGAGGAGGAGAAGGAGGAGGAGGAGGAGGAGGGGGAGCAGTAGGAGAAGCAGGAGGAGGAGGAGGGGCAGAGGAGGGGAGGGGAGGGGGAGGAGGAGGAGGAGGAGGAGGAGGAGGAGGGAGGAGGAGGAGGAGGAGGAGGAGGAGGAATAGGAGGAGGAGGAGGAGGAGGAGGAGGAGGAGGAGGCGGAGGAGGAAGCGGAGGAGGAGGAGGAGGAGGGGGAGGGACCCCGTAGGACCGCCGGGTCCGCCATGGCCGCGGGCGGCGAGGAATGTGGAGGAGGAGGAGGAGGAGGAGGAGGAGGTTCACTGCCCATAGATGGAGTGGACGGAGAGAGGGGGAGACAGTAATTGTGGGGTGCCTCTCAGGATGCTGATTTTTTGTCGCCTGGCACGGGTGACGAGCCCTACCAGGGCCCATCGACAAGGTACCCCACCCCCAACTTTATTTTCCGTCATCCAGGTCGACCTCAAACTCGGGGTCCGACCTCCCAGCTTGAGCCTCTGCGCGCTGTGCCAGGGCCCTTCTGCCGAAGGCCTCCTCCCTGCTGGAGGAGCCGAAATCCAGAAGGACCGTGCCCAGTCCGAGCCCGGGCTGCCTAGAAAACGGCAACCGCCTGTATGACTGGGGTGCTAGAAGAGACCCCTTTGTTGCCACTCCAAAATTCTTGGCACAATGGGCACAGGTGGCCTCCGAGGGGGACTGACAGGGCCCCAGCTCCACCAAGGGAGCCCTTGTGGGATGATTCTGCGCCTGCAACCTTCTACGCACTGTGTACGCAGAGCCGCCTTTGAGTTACCGTGGGCCCTTTCCAAACCCTTTCCGAGGCCCTGCTGCATAGGAGTGGTGGCGCGCTGCTATTGACTCCGCGGCTTCATCTGCAGGCCACGTCGCTCAGCGAAGCTCGGCCGAGGAACGCTGCGCGTTCGATCTGGGAGGAGGACGCGGTCCTACCGACGGAGGAGCAGGGGGTGATAGGGGGGCCTCTTCTGGGGCCTTGCCCTCACAAAGTCCTGGGGGCCTCAACCCCAGGTCTATCCTCTTGAGGCAGTCCCCCCCTTCACACTGGTAACCCCATGCCCACGATAATAATGTTACCCCCCCTTAAGTCGTTAGAGTTTTTTATCGTCGACCAATAAGAGTTTGGTCGGGGGCGCGGGGGCGCGGAGGCCGAACTTCATTATCACGGGAAAAGTTCGCCATCGAAGTTACTTCCTTCTTATGTTGAGATAACAACATCAAGCGAAGCGAACACGTTGTTTCAGGATGTCTCAAGCGAAACCAATGTCCTTCTGTCTCTTTGTAGTTCTTTCTGTCTCTCTTTCTTTCTTTCTCTGTCTCTCTTTCTCTCTCTCTCTCTGTCTCTCTATCTCTTTCTCCTTCCTGGCCTCTCTGTCTCTCTCTCTCTCTCTGTCTCTCTATCTCTTTCTCCTCCTCCTCCCCCTGGCGCCCTGAACTTGTTTATCGCTGGGGTTGATTATCCAGGGAAAACGAGGCACGTGAGCTACCCTACACGAGCACTTAAACATTTTAATTTTCATAAAGCGCTTGTAAATAAAATTTAATATATTTGAATCTTCAGATTTTTTGTTTTATCATCATTTCCTCTTCTATGTATCCTTTTCATTTATTATTCTACTTTTCTTTTTAAATGTATCTTCTCTCTTTATTTCCTTCCTTTCTTTTTCTTTATGATGTATCTCTCTCTTTCTCTCTCTCTCTCTCTGTCTCTCTCTCTCTCTCTCTCCATGCCCCCCCCCCTCTGAACTTTTTTTATCCCTGGGGCTGATTATCCATGGAAAATGAAGCACATGAGCTACCCTACACGAGCACTTTAAACTTTCAAGTTTCATAAAGCGTTTGTAACTAAAATCTAATACATTTGAACTTGAGTTGTTTCCTTTTCTTTCTCCTCCTCCTCTGTTTTCTTTTCTTTTTGAATGTTTCCTTTTTCTTTTTCATTTCTTATTGCTTCTTTTTATTTTTGCTTGTGTATATCGCTTTCTCCAATCCTCCGCCCGCCTGAACTTTATTATCGCCGCGGTTGATTATCCAGGGACACCGAGGCGGATGAGCTATTCCGAGGATGTCTCAAGCGAAACAAGCATATACTCGAGGATGTCTCAAGCGAAACAAGCATATACTGAAGGATGTCTCAAGCGAAACGATACGTTTCTTAAACGAAATAAGCAATAGTTTGACGGTGTCTCAAGCGAAATAAGCAACAGTTTGTGGATGTCGCAAGCGAAACAAGGGATTTGTCGAGGATGTCTCCAGCGATATAAGCCATTGTTGAGGATATTTCTATGAAGACTAAACGCCAAGGATGTCTCAAAACGTGCTCGGTTTGGTCTCCTCTTGATCATCTCTTACTTCGAGATTATGCTGAGGTCTGGTGGGCTACTTTGATTATCTTCCCCTGAACCCCGAACTTTATTATCCCCTAGTGTTTATTATCGTGAGCATGGGGTTAGCCGAGAGCTGGCAGTAAACGTAGCAGCAAGCTTCGCCACACACTGCAGCCTCCCAGCAAGTGGATGCAGTGGGGCCTGGCGCCGCCGAGCTCAGCCCTTTCATGAGCGAACTGATCCGCTGCGTCATTCCCCGCGGCAGCTTCATGTGGCGACGGCGCGCGGGCGACGCCGCCGCCTGCGTCGCGCCCGTCGCCCTCGAACTCTCGGCCGGGTGTCGGCGCTAATCACCAGCGCCGGCGCCGTGTGTTTCAATTTGGCGGGCGCCCCACCCCCGCGATTCGCCTGAGCAGGGGAATCGTTTTTCAATCACACGCCCCGCATGTGCTTGTTATCACACGCTGACATTACGGTACGTTTATGCGGCGATGGTGCGCCGGCGACGCCGGCGAAGGCGTTCAACGTTGAATTCTGCGACGTGGAAACGCCGAAGGGCACGGTGACGCCAACGGATTCGACGGAATTCAACCTTGAACGATCGGGGCCGCGATCGATTCAAGGTTGAACGATGGACGCGGTATCCAAAACTTTTACGCGTGCCGACGCCGCACGAGCCTACCGTAGATTGTCGATTTCGAAAGTGCGACCGTGTTGCGCATCATCTGCTCTTGAGTGCGTTTTGGCATGTTCAAAAACCCTGCCTTCAAAGTCTTCTCGGCCGTGTGTCTGCTTCCAAAGGTGTGGTCGAAGTTGGCCTGGTTCTTGGCCATGGCCTCGTACTTACGGCAAGCCGAGAGCACCTTTTCTGAACGACGGGAGCAAAATACCGATCTTGAAATGAGGCCAACGCTTCAGCGGGAGCAACATATTGATGAATGGCCGCGCGTTGGCCGACTGGCAACCAATAGTAATTACACATTTGCGCAATCCTATGTGCGAGTCGCACTATGCGGAAGGGGCGGGGGCAAGCCCACACATCAGGGGAGGAAGGAGGGCTTGTGAGACCGACCTCTTGTAGTTTTGGGGGGGGACGATGGGGGATGGGGGTCTGGCTTGCGTCGCCAATCAGCTCAGGCGCATGTCGACAGGATTCTCCACAGGGAAGCGCGGGCCAAGCAGTGGTTTGCCCAATTGTTCTCACGTGCGCCCAAGGCCATATTTCAAGGGGGGGAGAGTGAGAGGGGGAGAAGGCGACGCTGTGCCCCGTAATCATCGTGAGGGGGATGTGTAATATCTCCTTTCCTCCTCTTCCTCCTCCTCCTTTTCCTCCTCCTCCTCCTCCTCCTCATATTCCTCTGCTCCTTCTGCTGACAGTCCTGCTTCAGCCCCTTCTTCGCCAAAATCTTCCGCGACGATCGTGGGGGGACGCCCCCGCGGCGGGCATCCGCCTCGCCTCGCTGGCGTGCCGCGACGCGGGCTGGGGCGCCTTCGGCGCGCGGCGGCTGCCCGCGACGGGGGCCGACTTGGGGCTGTCAGCGGGTACGCCCCCCCCCCCACCCTGCTGAGGCACGCGGCGTTCGTGCGGGGGAGGAGGAAGGAGGAGGACGAGGAGGAGGAGGAGGAGGAAGGTACGCCCCCCCCCTGCTGAGGCACGCGGCGTTCGTGCGGCGGAGGAGGAGGAGGAGCAGGAGGAGGAGGAGGAGGAGGAGGAGGGAAAGGAGGAGGAGGAGGAAGGAGGAGAGAGGAGGAGGAGGAGGGAGGAGAGGAGGAGGAGGAAGGTACGCCCCTCCCCCTGCTGAGGCACGCGGCGTTCGTGCGGGGAGGGGAGGGAAGGGCCTCGCTGCCATCCCCAAAGCGGCCGCCGTCCCCGCGGGCCCCTCCGCTGGCGAGGTGCGCGAGGGGCGCCACTTCTCCGCGTTCGACGACGGGGACCAGGGCGTGGTGCTGAGGGTGGACCCTGAGGCGCCCTCCTCCTCCTCCTCCTCCTCCTCCCTCCTCCCTCCTCCTCCTCCCTCCTCCCTCCTCCCTCCTCCCTCCTCCCTCCTCCCCTCCTCCCTCCTCCTCGTCCCCCTGGAGGCCGAGGAAGGGCCACGGACCGCCCGAGCTTTCGAAGTTTTCCCACAACCACCGCAGGGAAGGGGCCAAAGTTCCAAGACCACTAGGGAAGGCGCGAACGACCAGCATAAGCAAAGCCTCAAGGACCAAGGTGCATGGCGCGAAGCGCCAATGCAGTCTTGCATTATATAGACACACGCACGTTTCTCTCCCTCTCTCTCTCTTATGTTTTTTTGTTTCTCTCTCTCTCTCTCTCTCGTTGTTCCTCGTCCAATATTTTTATAAGCCTGGGGGGGGGCACCTCCCCCCCAAAACCAGACCCCGGGCCCCCTCGGACACCCTTGCCAAAGGTCCCCCAGCTCGTCCCGAACCTCCCAAGGCGCTTGGCGCTTGGCCGGGTCTTGCCAGCAGACCCCGGGCGATCAGAGCGGTGATCAGAGAGGCCGAAGAGAGACCCAATACAGCACAAGAGCGCTCCCAGAAGGATAGCCTCCAGAGGCCCCCCACACGGCCCAGGAGGCCCTAAACAGCACTCCCAGAATGCAAAAATCGCTCCGTTCCCTCAGGGAAACGTGCATTTTCAGCATGTTCGCTGTTCGGGTCTTAGCAGCGTCCAAAACAGCCAAAAAGGCTTTGGTATCGCCCCAAGGCGACCCAAGAGACCCCCAAGAGAGCCTCTAGACGGCCTGGATGGCCCGAAGACTGCCCAAGAAAGCTCCAAATTAGCCAAAAAGAGACCCAACAGGCCCTCACAAGACCCCCAAGAGAAGCCCAAGAAGGCCATGGGAGGCCCCAAAAAGACCATGGGGGGCCACCAGGAGGGCCCATTTCCCGGAAATCTGCTGCGAACCCGGGATTCGGTGCATTCCCCAAGAATTACTTACTTTCGCGTGCCCCGCTGCAACCCGCTGCATCATGACATCTTCGGCTTGGTGTTGCCTTGTACTTTGCGGCATTGCTTGACATTGCGTCGGCTTGCTTGGCATTCATTCGCGTGGCTTGCCCAGACATTTCTGCAAACGTGTACGCACACCATTTCTGCAAGCGTGTACGTACACATGAATCCGTAGCCGTTGGCTTCTGGACAGCGCTCCTCGGCGCGGCGCAACCGAAATTCTTCGCCGTCCCCCGACGGCGCCATCGCTTTCCCTCCTCCTGCTCCTCTGGGTCTTCCTCCTCCTTCTTCTCCTCTTTCTGCCGCTCCACCACTCGTCCTCCCCATATCCGCTTCCCTCTCCTCGCTCCCCGAGGTTCCCTCCCTCCTATCCTTCGCCCTCCACCCGGCGCCTTTCGGGAGCCCCCTGGAGGCCCAGGAAGGGCCACGGACCGCCCGAACTTTCGAAGACTTCCCAAAACCACCGCAGGGAAGGGGCCAAATCTCCAAGGCCACTAGGGAAGGCGCGAACGACCAACATAAGCAAAGCCTCAAGGCCCAAGGTGCATGGCGCGAAGCGCCAATGCAGTCTTGTATTCTATCTACACACACGTTTCTCCCTCTCTCTCTCTCTTGTTATGTTTTTGTTTGTTCTCTCTCTCTCTCTCTCTTTCTAGAAGGAGGAAAGGAACAAAACATATTGAGAAGGAGTTGTATGAATGAGAAGAAGATGAATGACGAAGGGGTCGGGCACCTCTACGTCCCCATCTGTAGCCGCCCACCCTGCGGCCGGCGCGCTTCGCGGGGAAAGAGTTCGGGAGCCTTGAGATGAGGGTCAATGCAAACGGGGGTCAGCTAGAGCGCCGGATCTTGCAGGATCCTGCAGGGCCAGGGTCGCATTGACCCGGGTTTGGGAGCAGGATTCTGCAGGATTTTGCAGGATCCTTCGCGTTGACCCTGGTTTGAGTGCATGATCGTTGAGGATTCTGCAAGGCCTGACTGACCCGGGTCTGGGTTGACCCGGGTCAGCAGTTCCCCGAAGAGTCCATATTTTTATACAACCCTCCCTCCGCGGAACCAGACACCTGCGGAATGCGTTTTTGGCACTGCTTGTGGCATTGTTTTCGACACCCACCCTCCCTCCGCGGGCCCCGGCCAACAAACATGCGGAATGTGATTCGCGCTGAAAATTTTATGTCCGCGCTCACCCACCCGCCCACCGCCCCCTCCAACATAGGGCATCCGCAGAATCGTCGGTGGGTCGTCTTCGTCTTCGTCGTCGTCGTCGCCGCCGCCGCCGCCGTCGTCGTCGTCGTCGTCGTCGTCGTCGTCGTCGTCGTCGTCGTCGTTCGTCGTCGTTCGTCAATTTTCGTCGTCGTCGTCGGGGACGGATGTTGCGGTGATTTGTGGGGCATGGCTAGGGCCAAACATCGAAAATAATGCATCACTCCATGTTGGGGCATAGAAGAATACGGGTGGAATGATGGTTTTTCTCAACCAGTTTTCGGGTGACCCATCCGTCAGTGGGTCACTTGCGTGGTGCTTGCTTCAAGCGGGACATGTATCGGATCGGAATGCATCACCACATGTTGGGGCCCAGAATGCAAGTGAAATAACTGGTTTTGCTCAAAAGGTTTTCCGGGAAATCCGTCCACCTTGGGGCCCAGAATGAAAGTGAAAAATTGGGTTTTGCTCAACCAGTTTTCCTGTGACCCACCCGCCTGTGGGTCACCTTCGCGGTGCCTGCTTCATGCGGGAAGTGTATTAAATTCGAATGCGCCACATCAGATTGGGGCCCAAAAAGCAGGTGAATCAAGTAGTTTTCTCAGCCAGTTTTCGGGTGACCCGCCCGTCTGTGGGTCACCTGCGTGCTGTTTGCTTTGGCGGGAAATGCATGGAATGGGAATACATCACCACATATTGGGGCACAGACTGCACATCCAACGATGGGCATCTCTGAACCAGTTTTCGGGCGACACAACCGCCTGTGGGTCGTATGCGTGGTGCTTGCTTCATGCGGGGGCCCATGATGGGGCAAAGAATGCAGGTGAAAGCTTTGGCTTGCGTCAACAAGTTTTTGGGTGACCCACGCGCCTGTTGGCCTGCAGGTCACATGCGTGTGCCTGCTTCACGCGGAAAACATGCCGAATGGGAATAGATCACCTCATGTTGGGGCTCAAAATACAAGTGAAACAATTGGTTTTTGTCGACTGGTCTTTGGGCGACCTACTCGCCTGTGGGTCACCTGCGTGGTGCCTGTTTCATGAGGGAAATGTGTTGGATGTGCATGCATCACCCCTTGTTGGGGCCCAGAGTGCAGATGACACCGTTGATTTTCACACCCAGTTTTCCAGTGGCCCGCTCGCTTGTGGGTCACCAGCGTGGTACGTGCTTCAGGCGGGAAATAGGCTGGATGGGATACATCACCGCATGTTGCGGCCCAGACTGCAAGCGAAACCATGTGTCTCAAGTAGTTGTTGGTTGACCCACCCGCCTGTGGGTCACCTGCGCTATGCCGACTTCATGCGGGACATGCATCGACTGGGAATCCATCACTTCTTGTTGGGGCCCAGTTTCAAGCGACGCAGTTGGTTTTTCACGACCAGTTATCGCGTGACCCGCCCTCCTGTGGGTCACCTGCGTGGTGCCTGCCTCATGCGGGCCACGTATTGACTGAGAAGGCACGGGTCCAGAATGCAAGTGAAGCAATGAGTTTCCTCGACCAGTTTCGGGCGACCCACCCGCCTGTGGGTCACCTGTGGTGCCTGCTTCATGCGGGACTTGCATCGACTGCGAATGCACAGCCTCATGTTTGGGCCCAGACTGCAAGTGAAACAGCTGGCTTCTCACATCCAGTTCTCGCATGACCAACCCGCCCGTGGGCAACCTGCGCGGCGCTTGCCCCATCATGCGGGACATGTAGCGGATGAAGATACATCACCCTGTATGGGGCCCAGAGTGCAAGTGAAACAATTGGCTTGCCTCAGACCCAAGCGCTTGTGGGCCGTATGCGTGGTGCTTGCCTGCATCATGCGGGAAATTCGGTGGAAGGCGATACATCGCCTCATGAGTACAAGTGAAATAATAAATTGGCTTATCTCAGCCAGTCTTCAGGTGACCCACCCGCCTGTGGGTCAGCTGCGTGGTGCCTGCCTCATGCGGGAAATGTAGCGGATGAAAATACATGAACTCATCCTGGGGCCCAGAATGCAAGTGAACGAATTGGTTTTGCTCAGCAGGTTGTCCGGCGAATCCGCCTGCCTGTGGGCCACTTGCGTGGTGCCTGCTTCATGTGGGAAACGCACTGGATTGGAATGCGCCACCCCGTGTTGGGACCCAGAGTGCGAGTGAAACAGGTGTTTTCTCGGCCAGTCTTCGAGTGACCCACCCGCCTGTGGGTCACCTGCGTGGTGCGTGCTCCATGCAGGAAATGTATGGACTCGGAATCAATCAACTCATGTTGGGGCCTCCTCCTCCTCCTCCTCCTCCTCCTCCTCCTCAGCGGCCCACCCTGGGGGGGGGCGCCGCCAACTTCGAGAGCGCCGTTCGCCTTTCTCCCCTCTGCGACTGCCCTTGAACCCACCCACCCCCTGGGGGCCACCGCCAGCTTTCGGGATACCCATTCGCCTTTCAGCCGCTTTTTTGTATTGAGCCCCCCAGCCCACATGGTGTGGGGAGGGGCCAATGCGGGTAGCATTGTACATTGCCCTTCGTGGGCAGCGGAGCTGGGGAATGGTCCTAACGTGTCTCCGAGTGGGGTTGCATGTGCAATTCGACCCACTCTTTCGAGCCCAGAACTACTGGGAACGAGGGTGGTACAATAGCCCGATCCCATTATGATGAATGACACATCGGCGAACCCGCAAGCTCTCGGGGCCCGGCGGTGCTGGCACGTTCCGCGCGCCAGGAGAGGGAGGTTCAGCGCCAGTCCAAACGATCTGCGCTAACCCTCAAAAGATTACGCTGCTTTGTCTGCTTCAACTCTCGTTATCCTCCCCCGCCACCTCCTCCTCCTCCTCCTTATCTTCCTCCTCATCATCCCCCTCATTATCCTCCTCATCCTCTTCATCATCATCATCACCACCGTCATCATCATCATCATCATCATCATCATCATCATCATCATCATCATCATCATCATCATCATCATCATCATCATCATCATCATCATCATCATCATCATCATCATCATCACCACCATCACCATCATCATCATCATCACATCATCATCATCATCATCCTCCTCCTCCTCCTCATCATCATCATCATCATCATCATCCTCATCATCATCATCATCAGCAACATCAGCAACCGCTCTTCTTCATCATCCCGACCCCCTCCCGCACACGCGCGTGTCCTGTCCCTATGCGCTGCTCTTGACTGCGTATCCCCACTCTCCCTCGACTGGTGAATTATTTCCTTTTCCGGTTTATCTTCCTACTGCCCCCCACCCTTCCTTCTCCAGCAAGGATGCGGAGCAGGTGGAATGGCAGCGGTCTGGGATAGCTTCGGAAGGGGAGGAGGGGTGCGGGCGGGAGGAGAGGAGGAAGGAGGAGGAGGAGGAGGAGGAGGAGGAGGAGGAGGAAGAGGAGGAGGAGGAGGACGACGAGTAGGAGGAGGGGGAGGAGGAGGAGGAGGAGGAGGAGGAGGAGGAGGAGGAGGAGGAGGAGGAGGAGGAGGAGGCGGAGGAGGTAGGAGGAGGAGGAGGAGGAGGAGGGAAAGGAGGAGGAGGAGGACGTTTAGGGGCAGAGAGGAGGAGGAGGAGGAGGAGGAGGAGGAGGAGGAGGAGGAGGAAGAGGACGAGGGAACTGCCAGGGATAGGAGGAGCCCGTCGGACTGGCGCGCCTGTGGGCGGCTCGCCAGGCCTGCAAAGCAGGCAAGCAGCAAGCATCGTAGATAGCGAGCGCATGGTGGGGAACAGCATCAACGCGCTCGTGTGCCCCAACCGTGAGCAGTCAGGCCCGAGAGCCGCCCATAGCGGCGCGCGTCGCAGCTCACAAGCACCGCCTCGACCCACAGAACGAGGCAGAGTCGTTGAGAGAGCTGCTGCCATGGAACATCGGGGGGAGCAGGCTGCTCCCCACGAGGAGCCTGCTCTCCCCGACGGAGCCGACGCCAGAGGAGCCGAAGCCTGTGAAGCCAGTGGAGCCGAAGCAGGTGGAGCCGAGGGTGCAGCAGCATCTCTTCCCGTGGCATCGCTCGGACGTGTGCATCTGTTTCGGCGAGGGCGACCGAGGAGCATCCTGGACCAGCTTGCGAAGAATAACTGAGCGCACGAGGCCGAACAATGCACGGGGAATGGACGCCCGAGCGATGCAAGCTTCGCCAAATCGCAGGCCGCGAGCCCCGGAGCGGTGCGAGCTTCGCCAGATCGACGTCCATGCAAGTTCCCCGAGCGTTGCTGGCAAGCAGGCTGCAAGGAGGCGGCGATGCCCCGGCGGCTGCTCCGAGCGGCCGCCGGGCATCGCCGGAGGTGCCAGGCGGCCATTCGCGGCCGCCTGCACGTCGCCCCGCGGCGGCGCGCGGCGGGGACCGCGGTGGCGAGCCGACGGCGACGGGCGGCCGGCCGGCGGCGGCGGGCGGCGAGCGCGGGGCGGCCATCTGCACGCGCCCGCGGCGCGCTCCAGGCGCAGAACTGCCACGTGCTCTTCGCCGGCCGCTCGGAGGCGGTGCCGGTGGCGCTGCGGCACCTGCGGCCGGTCAGCTCCGCGGGCGCGTCGTCGTCGACGCCGAGGGCAGGCGAGCGGAGGGGCTCGCGCACCTGCGCTCGCCCTGCACGCGCCTTCCTGCTCCTGCTCGTCTGCCTCCTCCTCCTCCTCCTCGTCGTGCTCCTCCTCCTCCTCCTCCTCCTCCTCCTCCTCCTCCTCGTTGTCCTCGTTGTTTTCCTCCTCCTCGTTGTCCTCGTTGTTTTCCTCCTCCTCCTCCTCCTCCTTTCCCTCCTCCTCCTCCTCCTCCTCGTTGTTCTCCTCCTCCTCCTCCTACTCCTCCTCCCCCTCCTCCTCCTCCTCCTCGTTTTTCTCCTCCTCCTCCTCACCTCCCTTGTTCGCTCGTATGTCTCCCTCCTCCTCCTCTCCTCCTCATCCTCTCCTCCTCCTCCTCCTCCTCCTCCTCGTTGTCTCGTTTGTGTTCCTCATCCTCGTTTGTCCCTCGTTGTTTCCTCATCTCCCTCCTCCTCCTCCTCCTCGTTGTTCTCCTCCTCCTCCTCCTCGTTTTTATCCTCCTCCTCCTCGCCTTCCCTCTCCTCCTCCTCCTCGTTGTTCTCCTCTCCTCCTCCTCCTCATCTCCTCCCTCCTCCCTCCTCATCCTCCTCGTTGTTCTCCATCTCCTCTCCTCCTCCTCCTCCTCCTCCTCCTCCTCCTCCTCATGTCCTGCACCCATTCCTTGTCCTGTTCCTCGTGTGGGAGGCTGCGCCGCACACCGAGGCCCCTGCGGGAACAGACCTCCTGTCGGTCGCCGCCTGCGCGGAGGGCGGCTCAGCCGACGAGCTCCGCTTCGGCATGTTGGTACCAGGCCGACAGGAGAGGGCGGCTCAGCCGACGAGCTCCGCTTCGGTATGCTGGTACCAGGCCGACAGGAGAGGGCGGCTCAGCCGGCGAGCTCCGCTTCGGCATGCTGGATGCCAGTCCGACAGGGGAGGGCGGTTCAGCCGACGAGCTTCGCTTCGGTATGCTGGTGCCAGTCCGACAAGAGAGGGCGGTTCAATCGACGAGTTCCGCTTGGGTATGTTGGTGCCACACGGATAGGAGAGGGCGGTTCAGCCAACGAGCTCCGCTTCGGTATGCTGGTACCAGACCGAGAGGAGGGGGCGGTTCAATCGACGAGTTCCGCTTCGGCATGCTGGTACCAGACCGACAGGAGAGGGCGGTTCAACCGACGTGGTCGGCTCCGGCATGTTGGTAACAGACGGACAGGAGAGGGCGTTTCAACCGACGAGTCCCGACGACGACGACGACGACGACGACGACGACCACGACGACAACGACGACGACGACGACGATGACGACGACGACGACGGACGACGGACGAAGGACGACGGACGATGGACGACGGACGACGTCGACGACGACGACGACGACGACGACGACGACGACGACGACGGACGACGGACGACGGACTACGGACGACGGACGACGGACGACGGACTACGGACGACGGACGACGACGGACGACGACGACGACGACGACCACGACGACGACGACGACGACGACGACGACGACGACGACGACGACGACGACGGACGACGGACGACGGACGACGGACGACGGCCGAAGCGCGCGCGCGCGAGCGCGCGGGCGGGCTGTCGCGGCCCGCCCCCGCGCCAGGCGACGGAGCCCGGACCGTGGCCGGCGGTGCGCGCCGCGGGCTGCACGGGCCGCCGGGGGTGGGTCGTCGTCGCGTCGTCGGCGCGGTGCCGGGGGATCGGGGCCTCCGCCCCGCTTCTCCCTCCTCTTCCTCCTCCTCCTCCTCCTCGCCCTCCTCGTCCTCCTCTTCCTCCTTCTCCTCCTCGCCCTCCTCGTCCTCCTCGTCCTCCTCCTCCTCGTCCTCCTCCTCCTCTTCCTCCTCGTCCTCCTCTTCCTCTTTCTCCTCCTCCTCGCCCTCGTCCTCCTCTTCCTCCTCCTCCTCCTCCTCGTCCTCCTCTTCCTCCTGCTCCTCCTCCTCGTCCTCCTTCCCCTCCTCCTCCTCCTCGTCCTCCTCCCCTCCTCGTCCTCGTCCTCCTCTTCCTCTCCCTCGGGAACGCGTCCGCGGGTAGAAACACATCAGCGCAATGGGAAGGGATGGGAGAAGGGGATGGGACGTCAGATATGGTGCAAGCGCACCTAGGCTGTCCTCCTCCTCCTCCTCCTCCTCCTCCTCCTCTCCTCCTCCTCCTCCTCCTCCTCCTTCTCCTCCTCCTTCACCCTCGTCCCTTCTCCCTCGTCCTTTCTCCCTCTTTCTTGCCTTCTCCCTACTCCTCCTCAATCTTCCCTTCTCTGTCCTCCCCCTCCTTTTCCTCCTCCCTCCCCTCTCCCTGCTGTCCCCCCGCCCTGATCGGCATCGCCGTTATCGGCACGATCCTCATCACCATCATCATCATCATCATCATCATCATCATCATCATCATCATCATCATCATCATCATCATCATCATCATCATCATCAGCAACATAATCAGCATCATCGTCATCAGCAACATAATCAGCAGCATCATCGTCATCATCATCCTCATCCTCATCATCATCCTCATCCCCAACAGCAGCAGCAGCATCGCCACTACCATCATCATCAGCATCATCATCATCATCATCATCATCATCATCAGCATCGGCAGCATAAACAACAACCTCAGTGTCATGATAATCACCAGCGCCGCCAACACCATAGTCCGCCTCATCCTCCTCCCCCTCCTCCTCCTTCTCCTTATCCTCGTGTGTCACCTCCTGA